ATGCTGGGGCATGTGTTCAGAAAAACCACCAACAAAAGGTCCTAGGTTCCCCTCCTGAGTAGAAAACGTCAGAATCTCTTGTCCCTAAAGCACAGATTTTTCTCTTTAGATGTTGTCTTTCCTAATGTGCACTAAGACCAGTCCAGCAAGAGAGAACTATTGTCAGACATCTCGTTTACAGCAGTGCCTATTTGGGTTGTATGTCCGATCTCTGACCCAGGTGTGATTTTAAGGTAAAATCTTGTCCAGGGCTCTTTAAGAAACTCCCGTTATATTCACTGAGTCCCATGGCTCCCAAGGTGTATCTACCTCTTCACAAAGCTCCATAAGATTAAGCAGGTATGAATTTTCCCCATGTAAACCATAGTGTTTTTCTCAACAGATTGTTTGCCTGAGTACTCAGCAAGTTGGCCCTTCCCAACAATGCAGCTCCAGGACACCCCTAGAGCCCTTCCATATAGGATCATATGAAGCTGTACTGGAGAGGAAGGACAGGATCCCTAGATTTAATATCAGCTCTTCCAGAACTATCAGAGGTGGCATAGGCCTCATGCACAATCATCTGAGCTATTTTTCCATTGAAGTGCACTGAGGAAGGAGCCACTATTTGAGATTAGAAAACCTTTTCATATCTCCAGGTGGTCCCTGACTCCTTCCCCATAATCAGGTAAGCCAAGTCAACCAGTGGCACGACAGCTGACATGTGGCATGGCTGACAAGATCATTCCTAACTAATTATTCAGACCATGTGGAACAAAGGGAAAAGCAATCAAAGGGAAAGTGGCACCTGAAATGGTCTCTGGTGGCAGATCAACTTCTGTTCCAAATCTGCTTCTTGCATTTTTTACCCGTCACCCCTCGAACAAATGACCTAACTTCAAGTCCCCTTGGACATCTACAAAAATGGAACAATCTCTATGCTGCAGGAGTGCAGGATGATCACTGTGGCCTGGTCTTATTGCCAGGCACATGAGTCTATCCAACCTCACTACTCGGTCAAGAGACAACAGGTGAATAAACAAATAACTTTTCTTTCACAGTAAATAGTGTGTTCAAATAACTGTTCCTGCAGCCAGAGCTTGTTGCAAAGTATTCAGAACTGAAACTGCAAAGGAGTAATTTTTCATTATACTTTAAAACAAAAGTGAGAGGAAAGGTACTCAATAACCTTGAAGGCAAAAGCAGTGAAAGAGGGTTGAGATCCTAATGTGTGTTCAGAAAATCACCGAGAGACCGTGATTACTTCTTTGTGGCTAAGCTGATACCAACTGCCCTGAGTGGTGAGTCACCAAGAACACCACATTATCATCAGTTTTAGCTTATTTATAGAGATGAATAAAAGCAAAATTCCAGGCAGTGGTAAATCTAAGAAATTCTATCTGGAATGCATTTTATATGTGCATGTGTGTATGTTTTCTTGGCAAGAGACTTACCTTCCTAATTATGCTTCCCTTAGGCTATCATTAAATTTAGTCTGCATTCCCTAAACACTCACCACTGACAGCAGGGGGAAGGCAGCCCATAAGTGACAGGTCAAGGTCTACCTGGTCCACCTGGGATTAAGTGTTTGAAACTACACAAATAAATCTGTGTGTAGATATGACTGTGGGTATACACACCCCTTCCAATCCTGGCATGTAAGAAACATGGTAACACAGATGGCAAGCAAGTTGTTGCAAAACTTCTCCAAAGCCCAGAGAACAAGACCATAAAACCCTTTAGAGAAATACCTTGGGTCACCTACCACTCATGTGTTTTATCTTCATTCTTTAAGCACACCATCAACTTTTACCTGGTAGGATTGATGCATGAAAACCTTTTTCTTTCCAACAACCCTGTTCTCTTTTCACAATTCCTAACATTTCTTTAAGAAGTGTCAAAAGCAGACTGAAAAGTGCATTTAATCCTATACATGGACACTCGTGCTGAGAAATGGCTTTCTGCAGATTTTGCTGACTAGTGTTGAAGTTAGAAGTCTCTTCAAACACTGATGACTAAATACACAACCTTCCATGAAAACTGAACTTGGACAATTATTAACATATGCTAATGACTCCTTCATCAATGGACAGATAACTCATGCAGTAAACCAAGACCTAGTTACAAATTTTCCTAATACTAATTTCTTTTTTTAAGATTTTATTTATTTATTTTTAGAGAGGGAAGGGAAGGAGATAGAGAGAGAGAGAGAGAGAGAGAGAGAGAGAGAGAGAGAGAGAGACAGACATCATTGTGCAGTTGCTGGGGGCCATGGCCTGCAACCCAGGCATGTGCCCTGACTGGGAATCGAACCTGCGACGCTTTGGTTCACAGCCCACGCTCATCCACTGAGCTACGCCAGCCAGGGCTCCTAATGCTAATTTCATCTTTACCCGGTGTTGGCAGCTAATGCTGCTTCAAGGCATTTGGGACTGATAAAACATTAAAAGTACTTCATTCTAATAGAATGAGTAAAGTCCAAGGCCCTTTTCCTTTGAACCATCCACAAGCATTAACAGTGGTATTAATATGCTGGGTTTTAAGAGGATCTTCCCAATGGGTTTGGCCAATGTCTTTTTCACTGGGGAAAATAAGAAAAATTACCAAAAGTTAACCTTAACATGAAAAGAGCATCCTAATTGTGCGCTCTGAAATGATAGAACTGTAAAGCCAAACTGCTCCTCAGTCAAGTCAATGTTTGTTTCTTGAAAAAAAAAAATCACCTAATCTGAACAAAACGTGGTAAAAAAACAAAATGTCATATCCCTGAGAAGCCATGCATTTAAAATAGACATGTGTATCTCGAAAGACCCCTCCTCTAAATATTTTAAGTTAAAATAAAACATTTTAGGGAATAAAACGCTACATTCCATGTTTAAAAAGGGTAAAAAAGGAAAATATTCCCGTTTGCTCATTTATATATAAAGAAACTTTGGAAGAAGATGTATATAAATAACTAATAAGTTTATCAAGGACATGGGGATAACTGGGCAGATGGGCAGAACTGAAAGGGAAATGTTATCCTCTTTCTTCCCCTGCCCCCTCTCTGAAACCTGAATTAGACAAGTAAACATTATATAGCATTTGCCTTACTGGTGGATTTGAATTCCTATATTACCATATGTAACCTCAGAGATATTTTTCACATATATGACCAGGGTTTTTAGGAGAAAATATTAGAAATTTGTAAAGTGTATCACAGAACGCTGAGTTATGTTTTTTTTCCATTTAGACAGAAGAATTTCCTCAGTGCTTTTGTTCTTATTTCAAAAAAGATAGAAAGTTGCATTTGGTAATTTGGCATTTGCTAGAGTGATCACACATACACACAGGCCTCCTATAGTGGATCCTGTTAACATACAACCCTTTGGCTATGCAAATACACATATTTTGCTAACACAAAAGGCAAAGTAGAATTTTGTGCAGCACCATCTACACCTATTTTTATTTTGATTTTATAATCACAAACGATAAATTTTACTTCATGTATAAACTGTACGATTCCTAATACTCAGGAACTAAAGTTAAAAGATGCGAGTGAATTCTTAGGTGCTAAATACAATTTTTGAAGGAAAATATAAATCTAAGAGTCACAAAATGTGTTTTCTTAAAGTAGAGAGTGGGTGAAGTGCTTGAAAGAAAAAATAATTTACAAGTGACAAACCCTTCACATGCTATTAACTGAGGCTTTGGAAAAGTCAATTCTATCATACCTTTTATTCTACCTCATATTGTGAACCCTTACATTTTTAAAATATTCAACTTGCCTTTATTCTTTTTTTGGAGGGGGGGGGGCGGGGCGGGAGCCTGCCAGCTGGTTAGAAGCCAAGAGTTATCCAGTCAGACCTGAATGAAAAAATCTACATTTTGTTTATTTCATAGTTCAAGTTCAAAAGCAAGAGACAATTTAAATAATAAAAGAGTAATAGAAAAGATGCAAAGAAAGAAAACAAATCATTAAGAGTCCAGAAGAACCTTCAAGAATATTTAATTCGGAAAATGTTATTGGTTTAGAGAACTTGACTGAGAGAAAACAGCTGGGTAGAGTTCAAGGTTTTAAATTAAAAACAATCTAACAAGGTCTATGGGGATAACTCTTTGAGCCACATTTTGGAGACCAGATTCATTTTCTACCAAGTAAAAGTAATAGCAGTCTAAGCTAAAAAGGAAATTCCTCACAACTGAGGTAGTTACTAAGTATCAGCACATTTTCCAAGTTCTCACAAGGCAGCTTAGCTATTTACAATCCATTTTTCCTCATACATAAATGGACTGCCTTTTCAATTTCATGTCTTCTGTGATTTGTTTTTTAAAAACCACTTATACACACCAGCCAGAATATGCCTATTTTATTAACATCATGCTTTAATAAATAACTGGCTACTTCTAATAAAATTAAGCCTCTGTTTACAACAGCCCCCAATATTCCATTTTGACCATTCTGCAGAATTTGGTGTAAAAAAATCGACTGAAATGTAGACCCTGAGCTATCAAGTAATTATGTTTCAATATAAAAATAGAGAATTACTCTTACAACTGAAGATTGAACAATAACACAAACAACCTCTCTGTGGGTTTTAATTTCTGTAGAAATGCTTGGGATCTTAATGGTTGTCTAAAGCAGGAAGAGACTTGCAGAATTTTCTTCTTTCTGAGGACTTTTGGAAACTCCTTTTAAAGTGATTTGTCACATTCTTATAACTTTATGAGCTGTCATTGGGTAAGGGCACAAGGAAAAGTCTCCTAAGGGGACAAGACAGTTGTTAGTCTTTGGCCTGGGACAAAAGATGCAGTCTCTGCCAGTTCACCCATGTGGCTAAGGGTCACCACTAAGACGTTCTCTTCTCAGCTCTACCTACTCCCACTCCCTCCCCATCCAAAAAAAATGAAAAAGATTTGGACACCCAGGTCTCCCCCAAGTAGGCTTCTTGGTTGATAGGGTAGCACACAGCTATGAACCACTGAAAATGTTTTGCCTTTCTGATCAGAGCAGGCTGAGCAAGAAAAAGACTCAAGTAAGACAACTTTAGAATTTCTTTTAAAAACCTGGGATGACAAAATGAATGCAAATACAAATGCACAGACAAAAACTTTGCTCAAGTGTTAATGCAATTCCCTGAGCACTGGCTGTACCCACCCCAATTCTAACTAGCCTCCAGGCAGCTCCTCTGCATGGCTGGGTTTGAAATCTCAAATGCTGTAACAATGGGGACCAAATGAAATATGGTTGGTCACTTATTTCTGGCACTGGGATATCAGTTCAGAGAGGGTCAGGTGTGGACATGAAGACCAGCACACAGTGGCTTACTAACTTGCCTGGATAAAGACAAAACGAAGAAACAAACGAACCCCACCTGTAAACAAAGTGTGAACATGTGGCAACTGGGGCATCCTGTATGGTCTTAGATATTTTTAGGGAAAATGCATCAAGAATCTTCTGAATGGATTACTTTAAGCGGGTTCAAGAAATGAACCTATGTGATCTTAACTTATATAATTCAACTCAACCAAAATGGGTAGTCTGCAGTCTCTTCCAGTCACCAGCTAGCAATGAAATATATCATCTTCCTTGTGTTGATGCTAGAAGACAACCTGACAAGTGGATTAGAAACCCCCTTGTGCCTTCACATTCTGTCCTAACTTAATTATAAAAAAGAAAATCACCTCCTCTCCAGATAAGGCAACTAAAACAACAGGGATAAATGTAAATTTTACTGCTTGTTGGGCTTTTTCTTTTAATAAGATAACGTGATAAATAAAACCTGCTTCTGTACAGCTATTTAATATTTCAGAAACACGTACATGTTACATGCCAAGAAAGAACCCTGGTTTTCTTGTAAGAAATAAGGTGAGATCATTACTGAAGGAAAAAACCCACAAACAAAAACAAACAATAAAGAAAAACAAGATGAGTGATAAAATCACAAATGCACAACTAACTACAGTTCTGTACCTATACCGCTAGCCACGTTTAACAAGATGCTGGGGAAGCAGGAACTTACTTTACGTACAAGTCCCTTTTTCCCACAAAACTGAATGAAAAAACAAGGTCAGAATTTTTTAAACCAGTGGCCACATAGTAAAAACTGTTCATTGTTGTCCATTCATTTGAAAAGCAAAGTCACTAGGATGGTAGAAAAGTGATAACCGGTGCCTTTTAAACTTTCTGATGATGAACACATTTTCTCTAAGATTGAGAATTATCTCCACTCTCTCTGCATAACCAGAAACAAGATGCAGGAGACAGTGAGGAGGCAGGGCTGGGCCCCAATACGGGCACCAGCGCGGCTGGCTTTGCCATTGGCATTCTTCCCAGAGTGGTCAGTTGCGTTATACTCAAGCTCCGAAGGACACTGCTGATACTCACATCCACTTCCACTTCCTTCTCCACTGTTTTCATCAGCTATTTAAAAAACAAAAACAAAATAGAGATTTCCACTTGTTCTTATCACAGGGTGTACGAGAAAAATTGGTACTTTACAACCACAAATGCTTACTGATATCAAAGAAGTCCACATCGTTCCCACTGTAAGCATTCTTCATTTTACTAGTCATAACCCGAAGAGCCATGATTTGACGAAGGATCACCATGTCCTGTTTGCTGGTGTCAACCTGGACCTCCGGATTACTGATCTGGTTGGCTAATCCATTTCCTGTCACTGCAAACAGGTACCTGAGATGACATATGACCCCAGTGAGATTATCAGTAAAACAAGTTACAGAAGATCAAAGATTTCTTCCTGGATTCTAGCACATACACTGAGTACAATGAACTTCCATTTCTAAATAAACTCGAATTTCTCCTTTTCCTGGGTATCCATCTTTTTTCTCCAATTTGACTAGGACTTTTTGAAAGTTACCCATTTTGCAGAGGTTGGTGGGTCAGAGTAAACTGCTGATAAAGTGGGTACTTATTTCAGTTATGGAGTGTGTAGGGGAGGGACACAGGGCACCACCAAATAAGAGAATGGCTCTGGTACTTTATAGGACAAACCATTGGGTGAAGAACCACAGGTGTTTGTTAAATGATTTTTTAAACAGCACTATTTGAACAGTCTGATCCCTGGCTGCAGCCCTAATGCTGGAATATGACTATTAGAGACCTTTGACCCAGTACAAGTAGCTGGGTATCTTGTCAATACTTCACTGGTAAAGCCCATTCTTAAGAATGTACGTATGGAAGCCTTCATTGTTGTTACTACCTACTTTGAATCGCTTCTTGAATGACAATGGAGAAAAACACTCTCTGAAGGTTACGCAGACATCTAGGAAGGGAGAGACTGCAGATCTATGGACCGGAGGCTAACCTGCTTTTGCCTTTTCCATTCCAGCAGTCATCTTCATTGCCGTTTCCTGCAGCCATCCTCTCATCATTGCAAATGTTGCTAGGGAGAGAGGACCAGAACTTCTTGGCCTGTTTCAGTTTCTCCTTGACATCAGTAACCTGATTAGGGGAAGCAGGAGAGAGACCTCTGTAAAACAATACCAAAGAACCTTACAGATGTGCCTTTGACCATTTCTAAAGTATCTGCAGAATGATACACAATTCACTTCCAATTTTAGTCACTAGAGAAAACTAAAGAAAATTTAGTTTTCTCAAATTTACACTTAGAACTATAGAATTACTCAAATAAATTAATAGTTGAAATATTCTGAAGGTATTTCCTGGACATACTGCCCACTCTACCTCTTCACTGTAACTTCCATCTGAGGCTTACCAGTTTCTATACCCTGTGGATAGAATAAGACATGGTCTCTCATCACAAGCCATTTACATTCAGGATCCAGATTATATATTGTCCACTCTGTGAAACTTGCCTTTCACTGTCCTCCCTCCCCTTGTCTATGTTCCTTCCTACTGCTATATTTGAAGCATATTGCTGTGTATAAAGCAGCCTGCTTACATTTCCTTATCCTTCTCCCATCCTATCAATTTACTAGTTATCATCTTAGTAAGCTGGATTGTCTGCATGTCCCTCTCTGTTGGGGCTTTTTCAGAACAAGGACCTGTCTTATTCCTCAAAGTGACCCTGTAACTAGCACAGTGATGGGCTCATAGTAGCTGCTTAGTAAATACATGGTAAAACAGCAGCTGGGTTTGAGATAAGACTTATTGCACACACTCCCTCAAATATGTATGAATTTGCTGAGCTAGAAAATTGAAAGAGGGAGATTTACCAATACTCACATTCAATGTGCTTAAAAAGTTTTACCTGTAAGACCCACACTTGTAAACCTTCCAACTAAAACTGCATTTTGAACAAATGTTTTCTGTGTTTTGTCATTAAATGGCCATTCCTAACAGCGTGCTTACCAGTTGGTCCAAACTAGTGCCAGCTGCTGTGGTTGGGCGTTCCTCAGGGTGATATGGTCTGAAGCGGGCATTGAAGGCAGTTTCCGAAATGGAACGGGAAATTCGTCCAGCTGGGAGGGGCTTGGGGGGTCCACATCCCTGGAAAACCTGCATTAGAGCAAGTATGATCATATTAGGGAAGTCACATCAAAAGCTGGAGTGGGCCTGAGTTTCCCCTTTCCAGTATCCTGCCCTCTTTACCTTCTGGGACACTTGCACACTATTGTCCTGCATGTTCATAATAGCATCAGAAATCTTCACATCAATGGGATCCATGACTGATTCAATGTTGAAAGGGCCCTCTAGCCTCTCTGCCACCATCAGCATAGCATCTAACGTGAGGTTTGGGGAAGAATAATACAGCATAAAAAGTAAATCATTAGTTCATCCTTAGGTAATCAGGCTGATCATTTTACTGTTCTTGTTTGTTGTGGAGGTAGAGGGAAGGCATGCATCATAATTAATTCATGTTTTTATATCTATTTCTATTTACACTAAACTGCACTGCATCATTATGTATCGCCAGCTTGCTAAAATGTATGGTGACCAGATGAATGTTTCACTCTGCAGCAAGGAAACCCAATCAGGAAACTTCTATTATACTGATGAGGCATTCCTTCATGTGTCAGTGGCTGTCACTGTAAGGCTCTGAGCTAGCTCCCAGCAGACAAACCTAAAGCTGGAGGTAGAATAACATGGTAGTTCTCCCAGACTTCCTAGGAGCTTTTCATTTTAGATTCCATTTACAAGAGTCAAAAATATACATCAGTGAAAACACTGGCATACCAACTCTTACTTCCGCCCCCCCCCCCCATGAAACTCTCCTAGATGCCTGAGTGCACAGAAAACACAAATAGAAGTATTCCAGCAAATTCTAATGACTTTAAATAATGAAAATTTTGAAAACTGCAATTTTTGGAATAAGAAAAACTGCCCATTTCAAGTATAAGGGCCTTGATTTATTTAAAAGCAAAATATGTTCCTCTCTGAGTGAAAAGACAGCACAAGGGGTCCACACAAACCATGTACTCACAGTGCATTTTCATGGATCACTCTGTAAGTCACTTTTACATGCTGGAGGAGTCTGGAATTTTTTTAGTTAGTACACATTGAATCTCTTAAATAAAATACGCTCTACTCGTTTTCTTGTCATTCATGTTTGTTGGGATTATGAGATTTAGTATTTTGGCCTTGTAGATATTTTGAAAAATTGGAAGAAACTGGAAACATAATTTCTCCCCTTTCTTCTTTACTGCTTAAAGCATGGCAGGAAAAGGAGAGTTAGGCCCACATTATCCACAGCCTTCAGGTAGTCTGAGGACAGCTGCTGGAAAGAAAGGCTAATTTCCAGAAGATTATGTATGTACTCAAACAGCACTGTAGGCCATGGCTGAACTTCTACACGTAAGCTTTCCAATGAAAAGGAGTTTCAACATCAGCATATCAATGAAACCAAATTTGGTCATCAACCTTTCACCTTCAACCTAGAACAAATGCAGCATAGCATTTTAAAGCACAGGGTCATTTCTCTGAACTACAATTCCGATGTCACAAACCACAAATAGATTTCCGTGAAATGCAATTTTTTTACAAGTAATAACAAATGAAGTTTCAAATTGCATTGTGGTAAGCACCAATAAAGTGATGCTTCCAACCTCTAAGTAAAGGCTGCCAGCATGAATATACCATTGTACTAGAGGAGAGAAAAAATGCTTTTGATGTGCTAGCAAAAGCAGACTTTTGTAAACAAGTGGAGCACAACTTCACTGTGTTCATCACTGTCAAAGCAGCAGGGCTGCCATGTACAGAAAGCACATTCCTTCGTAGCTGAGAAGTCAGCCCTTGCTCCAAATAAAAATATTATGAATAAATAGATAATAAACATCCAAAAATGCAGAATTTAAACAACAGAAAACAGCACATTTTGTAACTACTTATTCCCTGAGTGTTGAGGAAAAAGCCACATCACTAATGTGTTTGTGAAAGACTGAAAGGAAACATAAACCCCAATTCACTGGCTGTTTGGCGTCTTTGTAAACTCTGAGCCGGCCGGCATACACAAGGGCCTGGGAATGGAGAGTGAAGCTGGGCCTTTGTTGGAGCCGGTGCCATGGCATTGCGTGCTGCACGGCTGAAGAATGCAAATGAGGGCACGTTCTGCATGTGGCCTGCAGCCCAGGAGCCAAAGCTGCCCCTAACCCCTGGGGAAAAGTCGTGATTGGCTATCAACTGGGCTCTTCCTTACAGCAGCCAGCCCTGATCAGAAGCGCCAAGCAAAGTCCAAAGGCAGGGGGTTTGGAGTTTTGGTTTTATTCTGGTCCATCTAAACCACAAGGTGTCATTTGACTGTCTGCCTCCTGCCAGGAACTGGCTGGTGTCTCCACCAGCAACCCCAATATCCTACCACTAAATTCCTGCTGGCAGAAAAATGAGACATTAATAAGGTTGGCTACAAGTCCAACAATGCTAGCACTACTACAGTATGTGACAGAGAACAAGTGGCACCTGAGTGTAGCTTATGACTCTTCAGAAATTGTGTTTTATTTTTGGTTGGGGGTGGGGTGGGCAGGGAGTATATTCAAACTAAAGGTTTCATAGAAGTGACTACAAAACCAAGCCCACGGTGTTTCAAATATTTGGATCCACCCTGATAAAGACTGACAATACTTGAATAGATGCAGTTAAAGAGAGGAAAGAGAGGGCATGGCAACTAGGAGGCAGATTTGAAAACTCATCCTTGAGTCTCTGAAAGCATCTAGTTCAACAGCAGGATTCCAGGGCTCAGGATCTCAGCACTCCTCCCCCCATCCCCCCAGCAATGAGGCCATCCCTTCTCATGAGGGAAAGTGATTCCTTCTGCACTGTGCTTCCAATAATCAGAAACCCACATCTTCAGCCTCACGACAGGACTAGAAGAACAAAAGGCAGTTTATTGACTTAACCCCAAGATCTGATTTAAAGAACTGGTGGGGGGGACCTTCAACCATTCATTAACTGCTATCACTTAAAGAAAAAAAAATTCTTAGCAAAAAAACCCAATAACTTATAGCACATGTAGCAGAGGTATGTAAATTGGGACCAATTTCTGCAGTCACAGAGCAAATCAATTAGAGCATTGTGAAAATTCATGAAAAGCACTGAAAAGTGACGTCTATTATTCCTGGCCTTTTATATCAGGTTTTTAAAAATAAAGAGTAAAATAACCATTAAACATCAAGTTTAGATACAATTATACACCTCAACCCTCCAAAAAGTATCATTTAAAATAACCAAGGAAAATTGATTCAGAAATCCTATCAATTTTCACTTGGGTTTAATTTTATTTCTTGAAAAATAACAAATGTAATTTTTAAAACACACAACAAGAACAGCACAGCAATTTAAGTCCTCCTTGTTTTAGGGTACCTTGTTGAAAACGTTTATCAAGCAAGCCAAGTCTGGCTTTGATTTAATGAGGGTGGACCTGCATAATCTTGGGAAAAATATGTAGAACTTTTATTTTAATACACAGATAAGAGTTACAGTTTTGGCCAGAATATAAAAATACCAGAATAACACAAGGGGTATGCCGCTCTGCACCTTATTCCTGATGTGTCTGTAGAAGACTTAGCAAGCAACACTAGATCACTATCACCATACATTTTTTTTTTTTGGTACCATGTGGTAAATTCTACTCCTTTGCCGAGAGAACTACTGCAATAGAAGTTATACAGGGTGAAGTTAAAAAGTTAAGTGACTTAAAAAAATAAATTTAGCAAAAACAAATTGCAAACATGACATTTGGGTGTGGAGTGACAACGGGATTAAAAAAAGGGAAAGAAAAAAAATCAACTTTAGATCTGCAAATGCCATGGGCTTTTATTTCCATGGGAAATATTTTAAAGCAACACTCTCTCCCATGGCTTCATTCTGGGCATGATGTGCCATTTATGCGTGTGTGTCTTTGCTGGTCTTACGCCTTCCCTTTCATGGGATTCTGCTTTTCTGTGTGTAAAAGATTTTTTTCAGGTCTTCTAGCTTTGAGCTATTTAGGCTACAATTGTGTTGAAGTGCTTAATATTCACATCTTTTTTTTTCTTGTGTCAGTGTTCTCAAGAATCTGTTGGAGCCAATTTATTGATGCACTTTCAAACAGAGTTAATATGGTAATTAGCTCTCATGCAGACTAAAAAGGCATTCCCCACTGCCAATTCCCCTCTCCCCCCCCAAAAAAGCTAGCAAATTGCATACATGTTCCCATGATGTGGACAAATAAGTGAAAAATAGGTGCTCATAAAGAGCACCATCAAATTCTGCAACTACCCAAATGTGGCTGGGGTATGGGGAAAAATCTGCATTAGTTTGTGTGAGTTGTTAGCATGTGTGTGTGGCCTCACTAGACCCTCTGCATGTGGAGCTTCAGCACTGATGGTTCAGGACTAACATATGTGTTAGGTAGGCATCAAGGGACTTGATGACTGGACATTAAATCATCCTTAATTTGTCCTTCCACACAAGTCATAATTAACCCTCTCAGAATCTGGCCTCTTAACTTACATTGCTGTCTGGGTTCAAGTGATGGTTTTGTAGGTTTTAAGTATGTGCGAGAATATTTACCTCTAAAATGATCACAGGGCAAAAAGTTTTTCCATTCTCACCAGATCAGTCCGTTATTATTAAATCCTCCACAGAAAGAGAACCCCTGAATGTTTACAGTCAGATTTCACCTGGTGCAAATATCCAATGGGCATCTGGCCAGTTTGCAGAACATCTGGGTGCAGTGTAACAGATACAACAGTTTAAAAGCCACTTCCAGAGCACGGTAATGATTGTACACCAGCATTTACTGTACATAGATGCAAGCCTATGATGCACAACCAAATCTGACCTTTAGGGGAGACATGTCAGAAAGTCACTTTTTCATTATTCAAACTTGGTAGTCACTGTGTCTAATGTCTTCAGAAATGCCACCGTATTAGAGAATGTTTACTTGTAGAATGGTATGAACTTTGAGTACACTTAGAACACTGGCAAACATTAAATACCGAACAAAGATTTCATACCTGACAATTACAATATTCCTTGTAGCAGGAAGCTGAGCTATTTTCAGTGATACAAATACATTAATTGCTTGCTCACCTATGAAATTGTTCCACTCAACATCAAGATCTCCTTGGTTGGCCAAACAACCTCTCATGATGTTCGAGCAGTAGTTGTAACATGGCTTCACAGTCACTAGACCCTGGCAGTGGGAGCAGTAAATCATCTTCAACAAGGCATGGGTACACTGGGCTGTGGGATTTACCTAATTTGGGACAAGAAAGAGACAGTGTTGGGGGCAAAGACAGACACAGAAATTGCAAGTCTATCAATTTGACCTTGAAGGTTTGGCCATGAATTTTAGTTAAGAATGCACTGTGATGGATCATTTAGTAGGCCTGGCCTGCTTCCTGAAGAGGTGAAATAGAGCAAGATTAGATTTTTTAAAAAAAGGTATGTGGTGGGAAGGGGGTGTAAGAATGAATGTTGTATTACCTTAAATAACCAAGCTCCATGTATCTCCCACCCTGTAAACTTTCATTCTTTTCCCCTGTCTTTCAATCTCTGTCTCTCTCTCTCACACATACACACTCACTCTTATGTTAAATGACTCAATTATTTCAAAGTCCTACAAATAATTTCCCAGGATCATCCATGAGATAGAGTAGTAGAGACTACCTTTACCTGCCCTCCATGCATGGTAAACTATGGCCTCTACCATCACTGTGTTTGCCTTGCCGGATTGAAACATGACTGCATCTTCCTTTTAAAACAACAACAACACTGAGTACAGACTGTCTTTGAAACTTAACACCCCCCGTCAAGGTTTAAAAAGGTATTTAGTATGTACTCCATTCTACGCCTACAGCTGTGCAGGAGGCAAAATGAATGTATTCTATAGGGAAGAACATGAATAAATTTAAATTTGGGGTTATGTGAGGGCCTCCTAAGGCTTGGGAGCAGTAAAGCACAGAGTTCTCAGGGAACACCTGATGAAAGACATGGGACTTCAATTAAATTTTGAAGAAGGGGTTGAATTTAAGTAATGAGGAAGAACACCGAGTTAGAAAGAATTAAATGAATAAAAGCTGCAAGAGAATGTACCAAATATACTGTGGCATCTTAGAATGGGGTTGAGGAATTGTGGGAAATAAGGATGGCTGCATAGGAAGGAGTGCATGGACAGAATGAAAGGGGCTTCAACACTAAGCAGAAACGAGACAACATATGACAGGGTTACTAAAAATTTATGAACAAGAAAGTGGCTAGAGTAAAAAGAACACTAAACTACATTGGGTTGGCCATCCTCTGCAGAGAAATGAGACTTAGCTTCATCTTCCTACTTCCATAAGGTAAAATTGTCTTGGATATAGAATTGCTGATATTCACTCTGTTACTCATTTCCATCAGTACTTAGAAAGGAGTATGGCTAGGTGTCACACATGGACAGCTAACCAAATGTTCTGGTCTTCTCATCCTCTCTGCTCCACCCTCCTCTTTTGGAGTCAGTATCAGAGCATTAGTGCATTCCTCTCTATCAGTACCAGCCAGCTCTGCAAACAGACTTGTTATGGCAGATACCACTGCAAGAGAACAGAAGCTGGGATGCAGGGCAGCCCAGCAGTGCACTTCACCTGCTCTGGTTGTGGCATTGGATACCACTTATCAACAGTTCCCTGAGGAAAAGGAATGGGGTGCCTAGTACTGTCAGGAGAAAAACTTAACCCTGCTAGACTCCTATGTGATGCACACACAAACTCCCTCTTATCTCAAACAGAACTCTAACCTAAAAGGGGGTAAAAGGAAACACACAAAATGGTAACTATACACACTGAAGTTGACATTCCCTATGAATAAGTAGGATTTTCTCAGAAAAAAAAACAGTCCCAAATATTTTCCTAGGCATTAAATTAGTCCTTTTGACTACATATTACTGTACAGTAATATCTTAGCTAACCAGTCCTGGAGGAATGGCCACTCTAGAGAGCTAGATTTTCTAGATAGTTCATTCCTTCAAATAAGTCACATATAGTTAAGGACTTTGATACTGTCCACTCCCTCATTTTACAGATGAGCAAAGAAGGCCTGGAAAGAAGAGGCAGCTTAAGAATCACAGGATCGTAGAAGTCTTAGAGTTGGAAGGGACCTCAGAGTTCACTGGGTACAGATCTCACATTTAAGGTATAAGAAAACCAAAGCCAAAGAGATTAATCAACTGGCTGACAGCCACTCTGATACATTTGATTCCAGCACTGCACACCTTATGAAACCTTTGTGATGAGAAGATTTCCCACATGGATGCTGCCCTGTCTTCTTAAACAGAATATATGAAACTATACTAGTAGGCATTAGTTTCCTTCTTTACTTTAGTTAGGATCCACATTGGTGAGACTGCTAAATGGCTGGATTTTAGAGAGATAAAGAGTTACTATGTAAATTCCTATGAAAAATCATACAATAGCACATGACAGTTGTTGAATAGTATGTTTAAGAGGAACAACATCATAGTAAGAAGAAATGTAGAAGGCGAAAGTGTCAACAAGTAGTTATTGAGCACCTGCTATTTGCCAGGGATTATTCTGGAATGTATTTGCGATTAGTTAACAAGGCAAGTAGGAATTTCCATTTTAGAATATGGAACCTGTTCTAGGAAACATGAAGATATTCCAAAAAACTATAGGCCTTTAGGAAATAAGTGAAAATTCAAAACTCAATAGTTATATTTGAGAAATATTTTTTTCAAATAAGTTCTTTCCCATTCCTTTTCTTTTTAAACTCGAGGAAGTGGTCCATTGTATTCTTATAGGTCTAAATTACTTATGCAGATCTTGTAGTACCCGGTCCTAAAAAACGTTGATGGCTCAAGATTTAAAAACAGAGACCACACTAAAAGACGCAGTAGACATTTAATAAATAAAGATTATGAAACTGGATTAGGCAAAGTTTTTCCATTTCATTCTGCTCTGCACATGATTTGTTGTATAACTCCTAAAATGATCACAAGGAACTCAGCTCTAACATTCTATAGAAACACTAAATAATACCAGAACTGAGAAGAGAAACAGGGAAGTTATAAGAAAGCTGGGATGAGAAAAGACATATGAAATACCAAAGTTGGAGAAAATCTGTCTTTTGTCTCACAAGCACTAATCAGACCACCATGCAGTATTTTGCATGAAGGAAATTCAGAACCTGGGAAATAAACCCCTCATGTGGGATGAGGCACTAGTATAAGAGAATAGTTATAAAGCAGTCACAAAACCCAGAGAAAAAGCCAATAATGCAACCACCCCTCAGACCCTGGGTCCGTACCCTGCCAACCTGCCCAAGCTCAGGATGGTATACTTAAAGTGCCAAAGACTAGTTCTACGTTCTGGCTCTAGACTACCCCAGTGGCTAAACAAAATGGCTGCCTATACTTTCTTCTTGGTAAGAAGCAATGCATGGAAGTAGTTTTATTCCAGAAGACTTAAGACTAAGTGGTAGATCATGCCATATGGGGTTTAACAAAAGAGTAACCATACTCCAAGGCCTTACTATAATCCTCAGTTATGTACTGATTCTCTATGGCATGACATGCCATTGAAAATAATCAATGATTATTCCCTTGGGTCACAGCTCCTGACCAGCATTTGATATATTTTCTTCTTGTTTTGAAGGGTCAGTTGAACCCAGATGTGAGGGACCTCCAGACCCTTGGGGCTCAGGTAGGAGTCAGGTAGAGTTCTGATTGCTTTTATGAGAGTCACATTTTTCAGACCTCTCAGAGATTGAATAGTTTCTCAAAATGATATTGAGAAAGAACAGGAAAAAGGATAACTGAACACTCCTCCCTCCCCCCACCTTAAACTACAAACACAAAGAATGAATTAATGTTCTCAGAGAAAATGCTTCTGTAATTCCTATGGTTTTATTACCATGAAAATCTTGATGTCAAGAATCAAAAGAAAAATATTCTGTTCTTTGTCACAATAACTTGTGTACTGATAACTTTTATTGGATTTTATTCACTTGTATTATATACTTAAATAGTTATATGTACCAGGCTGTGTTCTAAGTGCTTTACATGTTTTAACTCATATAAAGCCTTAAAAATTATATGGAATGAGTTCATCATTTCATTTCACAGATGAGGACCAAAGGCCTACAGAGAGTAAGGTGCTCACACCAGGTCTTCCAATAAATAAGTGGCCAAGATGAACCCAGGCAGTTTGGTTCTAGTGCAGGCACACCGGACTCCCTTGATGGTTATCTGAATGGTCTCTTGTCAGTGATAGACTATGGGAACCTTGGGGGAAGCACATGGAGCTAGTCCTTCTCCATAGCTACTAGACCTAGTACAGGGTATCCACACACAGTGAAGTGAACACTCAGCTATGAGGCTGAATGTTTTCTAGGAAGAATCTGTGGTTGTCAAATTTATTGACCAAATGAATCAGCCTTTATGCTGGAGAGTAAGTTGGCATGCAACTGTTTTATGTAAAACAATATATTGACAGAATACTTTAATAATAAACAATAATGACTTATTCAGCCAATGCTTTCTCCTTCAAAAGGTTCAATATGCTACAGGGATGATAAAAACATGAATACATATGTACATAGAAACATATACACAAATATACATCTAGATATAGATATATCACATCACTCACCAACACTTGCTCACAGAAGTCAAAGGCTCAAGTAAACACTGCTCAAGATGGAAAGATTTCACTTGAATAAAACAGAATAACATATATGACCAAATATTTAACATTTTGAAAGAATTCAGCTAAAATGTAGCATTTTTAATTGATAATTCGGTGATTATCAATCTCTACTAGATAGTTGGGAGTTATTTATGCAAGAGAAATGTTTTGACATTATTATCTAAGAATGAGGTGGTTTGATTTGTTTACTTTTCAGGAGGCAGTATAATAAAAGAGAAATTTATGTGATTTCAGTAATTGTATACTAACAAAATTGATGTGTTATTGACTTACAAATTACAATACTATCAGAAGCTACTTTTCAGGCCTTATAAAATCCATCAAAGACTTACCTAGCTCTTTCTAAATGTGAAGATAATTCTAGGAGGCACCTTAGAACTTAGATTTTAGGAGACTATCTATGTTTCATGATAAAAGTCAGTTGGGAAAAGCATCCTTATTTCCTATTTAACGTACTAAGACTTTTGAAAATACTCATTCCTGCCCTGGCTGGTGGCTCAGTGGACTGAATGCTGGCCTGAGAACAGAGAGGTTGCCAGTTTGATCCCCAGTC